CCCCCCCCGCTCCCTCTCGCCTAGGAAACTGCTCCGGATTCGCCTATGCTCCTGTGTGACTGAAGATTGATGACTGTGTGTTCCGATTACTGGAAAAAACTATACTTTCGCGATTTATTTGTCTTAAAACAGCATATTTCATGAAACTAGTGTCTTTATCAGCTTTGGTCATCGTCGAAAGAGAAAGTCGCTGAACAGCATTATCAACAAATGACCGCTACGGACAGTGACCAGTAACACTCGGGTCATTTTTTTTCGGATGGCCTCCACTTTACACTTGGATCAGTCGTAATTCATAGTCTAGTCCTCCAGTTGCGGCCACTGGCAACTTTGACCAGTGTTTGCCGGTCAGTCTGCTTGCGACCCTGATGTTTTTTCTCCTTTTCCTTAAGGGGTTATTCGATCTACTGTTCTTTTATTGGGAGCACTTGGCGGAGTTTTACTGGCTTCAAGGTACATTTTGTTTGATTTTTCCTGGATTTTTGTTCTTGAAGATTTCTTTTATTTGTTTAATCAGTTTCAGGCCATACATGTCACATCCTGGAGCGCGTTTTGCCATGGATGCAAGGAATACAGTAAGCTTTTGTGAATTTATGCGTTTTTTTTTGCAAAAATTTTGAATTTTTTGCCTACTATGAGATATTTGTAAATTTTTCTTGGCCTACGTTCGCACCAGAGGTAGCTGTTGTTCTAAAGATGCCCTGTTTTAGCAGAGCACTGACCAAAGGCAAAAGCGCTATGTGTCGGAGCTACCTGATCGGCCACAAAGTTTTGAACCCCGATGCGTTCAGTTGCTCAAGAGAACAAGACTGGACACCGTATATTTGGTCGATGTAAGCATTTTAGATTTTTTTTTTTTCATTTTCTAACTCACAAGCTTTTTTTCACTCTCTAGCTCATCTCGGTCAGCAAGAGATTTCACCCTGATCAAATAGTAGCAGCGTCCGAGATGAGATGGTGATGCTCAACACATACCGATGGACATCTCAGCAGGGCGGGAGCCTTGCCCTCTTTATGAATAATCTTTAAGAAGACAAATTTGTCAGATTTACAAAGAGGCTGAGTAGCGGGCAGTTAAACTTCCTTTCTTTCTTCCTTCATCTTCCTCTAAAGTCACATATTCATTCAAAACATGGCGGAGTGGGGCACTGTACTGATGATTCCCACCCCATTCCGCGCCGACTCTGCCGTCTTTGTTTACAGTTTAGGGATGAAACACAGACTGGACAACAGCTAATGCACATACAGGCTCGCTTATCTGGGTATCTCAATTAGCACTCACTGCTTTCCCACAACTGACAATATTCGACTGTGTCCCTTTTATCGGCTGGCCTACAGTGCCAAACAAACTTTCGTTGTTTATATTTTCTAAAAATTTCCAAAACACTTAGCTGGAAATGTTGTCTAGTTGCATACTAGTGAGGAGTTCGGAACGATTATTGTTGACAGTGATTGGGGAGTGGTGGGTGATGGGTGCCCAGATGCTGCTCTGGAGACAGGATAGAGGAGGGGGACAAGAGTACTAGTGTCCATGATTAAAGAACAACCAGAATATGGACTATAGCTTTTCCAGTTGTTCGAGTGGACCGTGTTCAGTATCATATTTGATTCGTTTTATAGACGTACATGATGGACGGTGGCGAACAGTGGGTCGATGGTGTGGACACTGATCTCACAACAGCTGTCATCAGTTACTGCATGGACAGCAGCATCGATGGTTTGTTTTTATCATTCAAAAAAAAGATTTTTTTTTTTCAATACTTTTTACAACATTAGGCATTCCAGTAACATCACGGGGTCGTACGTGGACAGGGGACGCTAGGCTAAAATTTCAGCTTCTTAGCCCTCGTGGTTCCCGAGATAATAATTTTCTCCGCCAAAACTTTCACAGGATTGCACGTAGTATCCGGACGTAGGGGAAGGGCTAAATTTAAACTTGCGGAGTTGTACTTGGGTTGGGGACATTACCGTAAAATTCCAGCTTCCTAGCTTTTGCAGCCCAAGAGATAGCGTGAGTAAGCCGCACCGATTATCCGGGCTATTTTGATATCCGGCATAATATAGAATATTTTGAAAAGCTACGTGCCCTATTTTCGGTCGTTCTGGAGTTTCAAGCTTATGTTGCTCATAAAGTCATTGGTTTCCTTAATTGTTATTTTGGGGTCTATTCCATGTAGATTACGTAATAGATATTGTTTTCAGGCTCAATCCTGGTATTTTTGCCGGGCTACGATGATATAGTAACGGTGCGTGAAAAAGCAAGGCAAATGCGGGGCTGTGTCACGAGGCCTTCCATTTTCATGCTTCATTCGCAGATGAGCAGTCGCGACCAGCAACGTGTTTTCGAACCGGTTGGCCCTGGTTATCGTAAAGTGGTACGCCCTTTCCATCATTTTATTTTCCTAATTTTAGAAAAAAGTCATTTTTATACAAATTTTTGTTCCTGGAGACGGGCTTCAGCACCTTAACTAAATTGCAGATTCTCAGTACGAATATTGCCGAAGCAAGTCTGACCATCGATGATGTTGTTTTTGTCATTGATTGCGGTAAAGTGAAAGAGGTAGGCGGTTTATTATTATTATTGTTGTTATTGTTGTCATTATTATTTTTATTATTGTTGTTACCATTATTATCATTTTTATTATCATTGTTATTAGAGTTAGTTAAAAAATCGTTTTCTACTAGGGTTATTGTTTGTTGATAATTCGCCAGATCCACGGTCGTTCTGAATATGTACTCTTATTTCTTTATGCGATAGATGGCTGGTCTTCAGTGTGTGTTTTTGTGGGTTGCTAAGTAGTTTCGAGGCTGTGCCCTGTTTTTGTTGCTTCGCAAAAATATAATGTTTTTTATTTTTTATTTTTACTTTTAATTTCTACTCTGTTACAACTTTTTTATAATCGCGAAATATTTAAATTTAAATTAGAGCATGTAGAACCCAAAATTAAATCAAAAATCAAACTCCTTGCATTTTTCTCTTCCTGGAAAAGATGGAGAAAACTGGAAGTAGCCTAGCAGTACTGTACTAGTAGCAGTCACAATTTGAATTGATAATTGGTATGAACTTAGATTTCTAAGATGTCTAAACCGGGTATTAGCTTAACTTTCTTCTTCAGAAGCGCTACGATCATTCGACACGTATTAGCGAGCTTAAAATGACTTGGATAGCGAAATCGAATGCCGCGCAGCGGGCCGGCCGAGCCGGGCGATGTCGACATGGCTTCTGCTTCCGGTTATTCACTCATGAGGATTATTCAAAAATGAGTCCCTCACAGGTTAGCACTTTTAAGTCCGGAGAACCATAATTTTTTTTCGTTTTGTATTGAACAACAGTATCTGTGAAGAAACAAACGCGTAAACAATCACTCAAAAGGCCTACGGAAAACGTGACGTACATGCAGATCAAGCGGCAGATGCAAACTGGATATACACAGCTTAGGATCGAAAGGCCTGGCATAACTGCACTTGGTCTGTGAGAGCATCCCTATACTGATTTTCCGAACGGTCTTGATTTCTCGGATATTTTCTCCCGAATCTTCAGGCAGTTTTACCTCAGCTTTGTTACTTCAGACCTTGGACAAATTAAAATTCTTCCTCCTTCAAAAATGGTACCGCGACCAACTCACAGTTGGAGGTGCTTTCAACAGCCTTGCCAGCGCTTGTTTCCTGCTGGCGCATGCTACAATTTGGGCTTCACTTTAGTGTTTTTGCCTTTCACGAGGGGTTTTGAGGGGGACGCGTCGATTTTCTAAAAAAAAAAAGTATCATTAATTTTAATTTTTAGCTACCCGAAATGAAGCGAAGTGCCATTCACGAGGTGTGTCTGCATGCAAAAATGTTTGCCCCCGGGAAAACTTCGGTGCGGCAATTTTTGCTGAATGCTCCGGAACCACCAACTGCAGAAGCGATCGATCGTAGCTTAGAATTTCTTGAGGTTAGTAGTGTTTTGTAATTATACACTTGCAAAACAAAATTCTGTCGTAGTAGCTGTGCTTAGTTATCGGCCGTAGCTTTTCATTTTTTTTCCACGTTAAAATTTTGGGGAATTAGTTGGAATTTTGCATCTGAAGTTAACGCATCGAGGAAAATGTGAGTAAAATCCAGCCGCGTTCAGGGCTGGTGATTTGCATATAAATGGTCTTGTATTCTTTCTATCTGTTATATTAATTCATACATTAAAATTAATGGGTTATGACCGTTCCGCGTTTTCCGCGGCTTGGATTAGCCGTTTACTTCAGAAATTACGGTTCGGTCGCCAAAGGCCGCAAATTATTTATCAATTTAACCTTCTCCGGCCGCTCCACTTGGACCGTCCACTTATGATTCGGTCTTCTAATGGCCGTTACTATTTCTGTACATGTCTTTCTTTTACCCCTTTTCACTTCTGTCCTCTTATTTATATAGCTGCTTCATGTATACTTAGAATATTTGGATGGCTGTTAAGTCTGCCTCTCCATCAAAACCGTTAACAAATTTTCCAGTTGCTTTGACCTATGTTCCACGTCCTGGCGACCAGCCTTTTGCTTTGCTTTCAAATTTCTTTTTCTCCTTTTTTGCGACAGTACCAATTCCAAAAAATAGAAGGGCCAACCAGATTTGGACAGTCCAAGTAGGGTAGCCGAAGAGGGTGAAAGTGTAAGTTGTCTTTTGTGGCTGTTGGTAGGCTGAACCATACTTTCTGACGTAAGGGCCCGTACAAACCAAAAAAAAAATTAAGAGCGGCTAAATTTCCTTATTTTTTCGCCGTCGTTTGTTTACCAGGCATTCTATTTTTAGCAAATCGACGCACTTCTCAATGCTC